TTGTCCTTTCAAACCTCTATAAAACAGCACTCCAAGGCAGCAAAGCCCTCACTTTGTCTGAGCCACAGCACAGCTCGACCCTCATCAGAGCTGCTGTTTCCTACTGTGCTCCAGCCAAGCTGACATGGCAGTAAAGGCAGTTGCTCAGCCCAAATGGCCACTTCTTAATCTGAAGAGATACACCAAAAAATGTCAGTGTGGGAACTGCCGAGGATTCAGGAAACATGACTCTTGTAGCTCTTTTCCTTACAAAATTACTACCAAGTCAGAGAATGTTCCCAGAACTGAACAGCACATGTCCTGTTGTTGAGCTGAGATTACGGAATTGTATTTCCATTAAACAGAGACCATGAGGTCAGCTGTGAGCAATCCCCAGTGCTGCATTTTTTACTCTCTAGACACAAACATGCCCAGTTTCCCCTGCTAGCACAAGTCAGACATCATTATTTCCTGTGTTAAGTCATGCTTTAATGGGAATTATAGCTAGGGGGGCAGGGAAATATCTCCTCCCTCATCCCAGCCAATGCTTACGAACAGTCAAAAACCTCCAAGACATTCATTCCAGCTTTTACTCCAAATACAGGAGTTGTCAGAAAATAATATCCTTACTGAGATCTAAGTACAACACAAATGTAAGTAAAGACTTTCACTGCATGCTTCACCATCCCTGCCAAAGATCTCACCTGACACCCCCCTTGCTGGTCTCCCTCAGCAAAACGTGAAACATTATTTGGAGGGACTGTTAAATTTTCTCAAAATCCATCACTGGCTTACAATGACAACTTCACAATGCATGTCCCCAGGTGGAGCAACATAAATCACTAGCACTGCTGGTCACAGAGCAGACCTAAAATCATTAGAAACATGTCCTTTCCTGGGGTTCTGCATGTTTCCTCCACCAACATGTGACAGGCATGTGCCTCAACTTGGGTTGTATCTTTACCTCTGCATAAATAAAGTGCTTACTGTGCTGTGTTCATATTGTAGCCTGGTGTGCAGTTTTTATTTTCAGCTTCCTACAGTGTCCTTTGGGAGTCTGGAAGTGAATGTAAATCAAGAAAGCAGTTTCTATTGTGTCTCAGAGCTGAAATTAAGCTGTCATAGAACCAGTTAGGGTTGCACGCACAAGAAATGGGTTGTGTCCAAGATGCTCAGTGTTAAAAACAAAAAAATAAAGTCATTGTTTCTAAAGCTTTGCCTATGGCTTGTGCACTGCATTGAAAGGGTTGGTGGGGTGGGGAGGCAGGGCTGTCCCATGAGTGATACTATCCTCTAGGCACCCTGCTTTTAAAACCAACCTGCTCACAGCCAGGTGCTGTTCATAACTGAATTCTTCACACACTGACATTTCTTACATAAAATTGCCCATCCCTAACCCTCCCATGAGAGCTGAAGGACCAGGGGCAGGTTAAAACCCCAGCTGCCAAGGCAACTTCTCAGTGGTGTGGGTTCAAGCAACACTCTCCCTGTCCTTGAGCTCCTGTTTCCTCATCATCTACCTGCTCTTTGCCTCAGGCTCCCCCTGACTCACAAACACCTCTTGCTGCTAGAAATACACAGGCCTTCCTCTTATGCTGTGCCCTGTGGCTGAGACATTTTGATTTACCCCTGTCTTTCACAGAAGGTGTAACAAGAAGTTACCACCCCCATCTGCAGATGGGAAACGGGGCTGGGAACTGGAAATTAAATTAGACAGTGAGTTAACATCAACAAAATGTTGAACTGTAGGGTTTCCTAAAGTTCACACAATCCGTGTTCAGAGTATTCCTGACTCCACACGATCTGTGGCCAGAGTACTTGCTCAAGGCATCTTTCCCTTCTGTCAAAGAGTCATTTATTTACCAGTTACAGACCAAGTCTCTCCAAGGGCAGCTTAACCCACTGACCACACACAAGACCCTCAGAGCTGATGGATTAACTGCCCACCTGTGCCCTGTCATTTCAGACTGGCTGCCAAACAGAGTGACCCAAGCTCATTTCATAATACTGCCAAAGAAAAGCATCGTTATTTGCAATCTGTGTCAGAGAAGAGAAAAAAGCTACACTGGCCTGTGAGGCATGTTTAGAACTTAGCTGTGCACTTTCCAGAGAGTGACCTGAAACTGCAGAGCAGTGGCAGTGCCTTCATTGCAGTGTGCGCCCTCTGTGCTGTGCCACATGAACATCAGGCAAGGGGATTTTGCTCTTTCTTCAGGTGAATGCAAGGAAAAAATCTCAATCAGAGCTGTAGGCTTCAGGCAATAGCAGTAAATCACAACATGCAACTCCCACATTCGAGGTCCAACTTTACACTTGTTGAAAGGCTGTATTACAGCAAAAATTAACAAACTTGGTTTCTGGCATAAGATGTAGGACATGACTTTGCAATGCAGATTGAAAGCACCACACCAGGGCATTGTCACAGACAATTCTGGCAGCAAAGATGAGAAACAATCAAGGGATAAATCCAATACTTATCAACACAGTTTATAAGAATCAAGAAATTACCTGAAGTGTATGACTCACTGCAAACTACATATGCTTCTGCTATTTACCAGTGTGGCTTATTCTGCCAAAGGGTAATGGCATCCCTATGCTTCAGGTTTTGATTTCAATTGACATTGCTGGCAGTAGGAACAAATGGGGGGACAAAGGCAATCTATGAGGTTTCACTGTCACTCTTGGTCACTGTTATGTATAAATACCTCAGCATGACTGAATGTTATTGAAAAAAATAATAGTAATTATTAAGAGGAAACACTGATGTTCACTACTAAGTTTTCTACTCTATCAAAGTTTCAAGCAGCTGCCCAGCTCAGGGTCTAACGGGCAAGGCAGGAGCATCCGGATGGCACACGTGGATCTGATTCTCTGCCCGTACACAGAATGTCAGAGGCAAGCTGTCAGCAGCAGAAGGCTCATCCCACTCATACAGGGACGGAGACCAGCTGCTCCCGGCCCCGGCAGAGCTGGTGTGCGGTGCTCACTGGTCTCCCTCCGCAGGGTCTGCCTGGCTATTCAATTGCTGCAAATTAGCAAAGGAGGGGGTTTACTTATATAACAGGAGTTGGAACCAGCTGCTGTTTCCAGAGTAAAGGTTTGTGATTTCTTTGACAATAAGGAGCCTTTCTCTATTTTTTTTTTTCTTAAAGCAAGTGATGTCAATAAAGAACTGCACACAAAATGGAGTTTACAGTACTTTACACTAAGTGTTCCCTAATGGCTTTTAGAGGACTTCTGCAGCTGGGGAAGCACGATTCAGACTTTCACTCCCCCTGGATTCCTCCCTGCCTGTTGAGAGGCTGAGCTCTCCTAAGGATCCTGCCCAACAAGAGCCACTCCAGAAACCTTTCTGCAGCACCTAAGCCGCTCCACTTCCATTTTCACTGACCGATTGCTTTTGCAGTAACTTTGAGAGAAAAAGAAATGAGCTTTTCATGTAACAGCGCCCTCACTTTAATAAACCGGCGTTTTGGCAGCAGCAAACCCCGGCAGCCCTGAAAGAACAAAAACTGTCTTAAAAGACCTCTACAGTCGCGAGAGGGAAAACTGTTGGAAAGCAGAACTCCGCTACCTCAGCTAATTTCGATCTATTTTTTACCAGAAGATTCAGTCTCCGTAGAGACTGTCAAAAATCTGCGCCCCCGGTCCCGCTGCCCCCGCCCGCAGCCCGCGCCGCGCCGCGCCGGCCGGGGATGCACCGGGAGGCCACGGAGGGATGCGCCGCGGGCCGGTGGCACCGCCGGGACCCGCGGAGGTTGCCGGGAGGGCACTATGGTAATGAGCGTCCGGGCAGGCGCTGCTCGAGCCAGGGGCATTGGCCGAAAATCGCTGTGTTCCATCCCGGGAGGCAGCGCACGGAACGGGGCTGGGGCACTCTCGAGGAGCACCAGGGAGAAACGGCGTCTGCCGGGTGCCACCAAAGCAAAGTCATCACCCAACAGTTTAAAACACGTCTGAACTCCTAAAGTATAAATCACTGAAAGTCGTTTAGACTCACGACTGCCAAAAAGAAGGATGCACTCCACACCTAAGCCCACGGGCAGAGGGACAGGCAGGGTGGCACGGCACACCGAGGGAGCAGGATGCTCTTCCTCCTTGTGATCACAGAATTACACACTGCTACACAGATGCTCAGGCTCACCTGGTCTTTGAAATAACTGTAAGAGACAAAAAAAATGGATTAAAACTTTTTGCAATGTTTTGAACTGTTTAGCAAGAGCTCTTTGTGAATGCATTTGAAAAGCAGTCCAAATCTTTAGAAAGAGCCCATTGTCTGCAAGACTGCTGGGCATCCAGTGCACCAGGCTGCTACCACACAGCAGTCTGGCCTTCCCCGTATTATTTGTTCCTCAGAAATATAAGCCTCATTTGAAGAAAAACAAAGCAAACAAAAAACCAAAATAAATTAAAAAAAAAAAAAAAAAAGAAAAAAGAAAATAAAGAAGGGAAAAAAAAATGCAAACTCCTTATTGCCAGGCAAATTATCAGGTGATTCTTGAGACTGAAACCTGCACCAAGCAGGCAGGCAAAGAGATGGGTTCCTGCCAGGGTGCACAGAGCCAGCAGCAGACAGGCTGGCACTGCCCTAATTCTCAAGCTAGACATGTCTGTAAGCCTGTAACAGCCCTTAGTGGATTTTTCTTCCATTATTTATTCAGTCACATTTTAAGCCTAAAACACGTTAGTATCAGTTAAAAGAAAACACATCTTTTATAACGAGCATCTACAATGCATTTTATCAAAGCTGTCACATGCATTTGTATCAAATGAATTGGGATTTTAACCTCACACGCTTCCCTGAGGGCTGCAGTGAAGCTCTCAGGTGCTGGGATGTTGGGAACACCTTTCGCCCCGCTCTGACGCATGGGAGTTGTAGTCTCTGTGCTCAGGGCTCGTTTTTTCCCCGTGAACTACATTTCCCAGAGGGCTCCCTCTCGGCTCGGCCCGCCCTGTCCTTCCGCGGCCGGCGGCGGCACCGTGACCGGTGAGTTTGCGGCGTTATTCACCGCGCGGCTCTTCTTCCCTTAGCCGGGCTCGGCTCGGCGGTCACCGCGCCCCCGCCGGGACCCGGCACAGAGACGCGTGGGGCTCCATGTGGCGCGGGGCTCCCTTTGGATTTCTGGCCTCTAGCCGTTTGTAGGATCCTGTTTCTCTTCTACCTTAACCTTGCCTGATCTTTTCCTGTGGAGCATCTTGGGTGTGCGCTAAAAACAAACCCTAGCCTCAGATCTCCGTAGGTTTGTTTAAAGAGTTTCACTTGTCATGTAAAGTAGTTGTGAAAAAAAAAAAAAAAAAGAAAAAAGTTTTGTTTTGGTTTTTTTTGTTTTTTTGTTTTTTTTTTTTTTTAATCTGAACACTTTAATTTTAAAAGCAGCTTTGTATTTGACAAGAAATATCCTTTAACATTTTCTCTTCCATAGTCCTTACCTGGTTCACAGCAGCTTTCAAATGTATCTAAATGTATCTGTATTTTTTTCCTTTCTCTCTCTTGTGGGCCGACACCTATTACATTTCTATTTCATTTCGGCTCTGAACATTTCCTTCTGAGAGATCTTTTGATGATAAGGGGCAGGAATGAAGAGTTTTCATCAGTTAAAGCAATTTAATTACCATCAAGCTGGCTTAAGAGCCTTCGGGGAGCATCATGACACAAGTTACTTTCAAAGCAAATTAATTTATTGGGAGACTTTGTCCCTTCTAATTAATTCATAAGGGAAATTAAACCTCTTTAGAGGGAATGCCAAACACGACTCCTGCTAAACAGCAAAACAAAGCAAAAATCATTGCAAACAGAATCACTGCTTAGGAACAAAAGCAATTCAGACTATGGAGTCTGTCCAATCTTCCTGCATTTTCATTGCAACTGATGATGACAAAAAGCCTTGAAAACTGAAGACTAACTGAGCCAAATCTACCCTTTGCCACTATCAACAGTTTAGTATCACAGTGCTTGGAGCTGAACACCTAAACTTCAGCTGTATCTAAGCCCTCAGTTACCCACCAGTACTCGGTCTTACAGTAAACGGAGCAATATTTAAATACATCTGAAGTTTAGGTGTTCAGGAGATCATCCCCTCTTATCAGTAAATAAAGCTCTTCCTCTGTCTTCCACATCTCATACAAGCCTCCCTGCTTAGGGAGATTTAAGGAGGCAGAAATACCAGACAGTCAATTCTCAGGACTGTTGCTTTCAAAGCTTTTTGTACATTGTTTGCAAAACCATAGCGAGGCCCAGAAAGAATAGTATTAAAACAGTGAAATAGAGATAGAACTGCAGACTGCTGGAAAGCCTAAACAAAATCAAAGTCCAAACCCATCCACTCGTGTCTCAACAGGTCCTGCACACTAAGGCTACTTAGTCAGCAAAGCCATCCTGCCTGTCCCCAGCAGGGCATGTCACTGCTCCCTTAAAGCAGGGTGTCCCTCCCATTCCTACCTGCCAGGCCGTTCCTTCTGCCCCAAACACTTTGGATAATCCCTTCTCTCTCAGAAAGCCCCTGTGTCTGCTGGAGAATCAAAGCAGCTTCCCACTGACTCTGGAGAGGTGGCACCCACAGAAGAGGAGGTGCCAGAGGCATTTAGACAGTGCCCTAATCATCTTCAGTCCCATTTCAAGGCCTGTTCTGCACCAGGCCTTTGTAAAAAACAAAAGCAAAAAACCAACCAAAACACGCCACACAGGAGTAACTCCAGTCAAGGCCTTTGCCAGGGGAAAAACATTTCGAGGTTGTTTTTCTCTCCCTTCCTACAACATGTGTTAAGTACGGGATAAATATAAAAGACTAATTTGGAGCAGGCAGAATGTTAAAAATGCAGAACAAGGGTTTTCAGGGGAGGAACCAGCCAGTGCCTCTGGGGTGAGGTGCTTGGCCTTCCTGCCATTTCCTCTCTGGTCTGCTGCACATACCAGGGAAAGACTTCACATGCACAGGTCTTTCTGGGCTCCTTACAAGTCCTCTTAGACAGCCATCCTTCACACCAAGGTAGAACAGCAGGAACCCTGCAAGTCAGAGTTGTTAACTTTGTGCTCAGTATTCCCCTCTTCCAAAAGAACATACTTGGATGGTAGGCTTTAGCTCATGTTTCCAAAATAATTTGTTTCTTTACTAAGAAGAGAGCAAAGAATACTTAACTGCATAATTTCCCAGAGAATCGCAAGCAAATGGCATTAAGGACATGTTTTTTGCTTTCTTTTACCTGCCACGTGTTCTGTTCTTGCCTTTTAGCTGAACATGTTCTCTGCCAGGAAGTGGTGTGGCGTTTTTGGAGCTGTCAAACTGCATCATTTCGGATCCCGTTCTGTATCCAGAGCCTCTCCAAACTTGACTTTCGTGCCAGCCTGTCTTCCCCCAGATCCTGCAGAAGTGGAGGAGCTGCAGCGCTTTGTTTCTAACTCTAAGAGGCTGTTTGTAATGACTGGAGCTGGAATCTCCACAGAGTCAGGGATCCCCGATTACCGCTCTGAGGGCGTTGGGCTCTACGCCAGGACAGACAGACGGCCCATCCAGCACGCTGAGTTCGTCCGCAGCGCCAGTGCCCGGCAGCGCTACTGGGCAAGGAACTTCGTGGGCTGGCCCCAGTTCTCTTCCCACCAGCCAAACAAGGCACACCTGGTGCTGAGAGATTGGGAGAAGCTGGGCAAGCTGCACTGGCTGGTGACGCAGAACGTGGATGCCCTTCACACCAAAGCCGGGAGCCAGCGCATGACGGAGCTGCACGGCTGCATACACAGGTACAGCTGCTGGCTGGCAGTGGTGACTGACACGCAGCTGCAGTGTCAGCTGCTGAGAAAGGAGGCAAAATGTCCACACTGCATTCCTGGAGATGACAGGCACAAAGTGGTATTGGGCTAGGGTGGAGAAAAAGATCACAACCCAGTGCTGTCCACAGCACGGTATTTAAGAAACATGACCACCATTTTTTGGAGCATTATTTGGATCCATTTCCTTGAAACTTGCATCCATTTCCCCTTTCCTTGGTACAGCAAATATCCTCTTAGTAAAGAGAAGGAGGGTATCATGAGGATACAAGGATTATCCACCTTAAGCAGAGTGGATAGTGCCAGAATTGCATGGGATATGTGTACTGGAGAAGGGCTATCACAGCCTGTCTGGGATCACCCAAAATTTCTAGATTAAAAAGCACAGCATGAACTGAGAGAGAGGATGCATGTCAGGGTTAAAAGCACTTCCTCTAGAGCATTCCTACAAAGCAACAGAGTAGAAAGACATCTCCTTGATCTGAACTATTTGGTAAATAAATGTGGAAAATCATGACAGGTTTCCTAAGGAGCAAGTTAGAGTCTCCAGATCTTCAGCTGACATGAAACTCTCCATTAAGACTTTGCTCTGACTTTCAGGGTCTTCTGCTTGGCCTGTGGAGACCAAATCTTGCGTGCTGAGCTCCAGGAGCACTTTGAAGCTCTGAATCCTACTTGGAAAGCTGAAGCATTTGGGGTGGCTCCGGATGGGGACGTCTTCCTGACAGATGAGCAGGTGCGCAATTTCCAAGTCCCAGCCTGCCGTAAGTGTGGTGGAATCCTGAAGCCTGATGTGACCTTCTTTGGAGACACAGTGAGCCAGGAAAAAGTCAGTTTTGTACACCAACGCCTGGCAGAATCAGACTCCATGCTGATAGCAGGATCCTCTATGCAGGTAAGTAGGTCTGCCTCCCAAACTGCATTCCTCCTTCCCTGCTGCTCTGCCTGCAATGATCCTTGATCCCACAGCTGAGGACTACAAGTGGCTTGTGGACCAGACCAGCCTTTGCAGAGCTTCTTTGTATTTTATTTTTACTGTGGTTGGAAGCTGGCTTTTTGGGTGACCTGTTTGGGCTTCCCTGTCACTCTTTGCCAGTCTACTTCATGCTGCTGTAAATACCTCCATTTAGACCTCTCTGCTGCCTCCTCCATCAGGTCACAATTGTCCATAAAGGTGAGATACCTGATACAATTCGTTCCTCACATTTTTTTACCTAAAATTTTTAGCCTTTAGTAGCTTTTTAGGCCTCATGGCACACTGTGTAAAATACCAGGTTATAAGACCTCTCATTCTTCATTAAATTCTCAGTAAGAGAGCTGAAATAACTCTGCTGCTTGGGATTGTCCTTTGTATCACAATGTGTTTTCTCCACTAGCCTCTTATCTATAAGGTAAGGTGGCTAAACAACAGGGGTTTCTAAACCCATAGAAGCTTTTCTAATGGTGTTTATGTAAGATAATTTTTTCCAAGAACAAGTTCTATTACATAAAAAAAAACCTTGCTCTTAACACCTCCCAGAAGGAGATAAAACCAAGGCTGCTTGATTGTGATTCTCTTGGCTGCAGGATACCAGATACAAATTTCTTAAGCTTGCACTTCTTAAGCTTATAATCCTCTGTACAGGAATGATTGAAATGCCTTAGGATTGTTCTTGTACTACCTTAGCGGCGCTATGCAGGAACCATCAAAGTGCAGCATTTAAGTACCTGTGATAACTAATAAAAACTGCTGCAGAGATTTACTAAAGGCAAGGACATTTCCCTTCAATCTGCTCTGAAGTTTCAGTTTCTATGAAACTGCAAATCCTTCACTGACAGAGGTTAAAAGCTGTTCTATTCTGTGCACTCCTGAACGAAGACATTTCCTACCTGAGCTCAGTGCAGCTGCCTAACACAGCATGTATGTGCAGCCCTTTTCCCATTGCCAACTTCAGCTATTTTTTCCTTTCTGTAACTCTTGTTTTGCCTAAGCTGCCTGTAATTTTGTTTTCTGGTACTCCTGCAGGTGTACTCTGGTTACAGGTTTGCTCTTGCTGCCCGGGAGAAGAAGCTGCCAATTGCAGTCCTTAACATTGGGCCCACCAGGTTAGATCACTTTGCATCCTTAAAGCTGAATTCCCGCTGTGGAGAGCTGCTGCCTTTGATTGTTTGCACATGACCCAACCAGCTGAGCTTCAGTAGCTATCAGGATTGAAGTTATTTTTACAAGGTGAGTACCTTCCCTGGTCAGTCACCTTTCAGGGTAAGAATATGGGTTCCTGGAAAATGCTGAGACTGGGATGTGCTGACTGACAAAATGTTCCCTCACTGCACCAAAAGGTGGCTGTAAATTTTTATCTGTAATTGGTCTGGTCTGATGGGCCATTATACTGTTTCCCATGATCATAAACAAAAAACATAGCAAGTGCTAGCACTCCCAGAGAATTAGGTAGGAGTATCCAGAATACTCAGTAGCGTAGAAATCCAATCCATTTGTTACTATCAGGAAACTAGAGGGGATCACCTGTAGTTCCAGAGAACCTGATCACAACTGTTGCCTTTGCAACTGACAATTCAAAAGCTGGTCCTGATTGAATTGGTCCAGCTAATCCTAATCAAACACTGCTGTTTAAAATAATCAATTCAGTCGATAAAGCAGCTTCTTTCTTTCCCTTCCTGCAGGACTCATCTCAGAAAGGGGAAAACTCCAATCCAAGAGGCAGCTGTGAGATGCAGTGCACAGCCGCTGAGGGCACCAGGAGAGGGCAGCAAGCCTCACACGTGTCAGCCTCACCAGTTCCTCCATTGAAAGCATCTCCACGTATCAGGAAACAGAATGAGGATGGAAAAAAAGTACTTTTCTGCCTTAGCTTGCCGATAAACAGTGCCTTTTCATTCACTGGGACAGGATAATTGGACTACATGTCTGAGAACAAAATACCTTTCTAATAATTAGCCTTAGCTTGCCGATAAACAGTGCCTTTTCATTCACTGGGACAGGATAATTGGAGTATCATGTCCGAGAACAAAATACCTTTCTAATAATTGTCCCCAGAGGAGAAGGGTGGGATGGGGATTTTGACCAGGTAATTTGAGGCTGTAGCACAGGAGGGCGATGTGGGACACTGCTGGGGGATCCAGTGTCACTGGTGGGATACTGTAGAGTGTGCAAAGAGGAAGAGGAGGCAAGAGGAACTGCAGTGGTCACTGCCCAGGGGAAAAGAAAAAAGGTTCAAAAGGTTCAAAATAGCAGCTGAACAAGAACACTGCTCTTGTAACAGATTTGGAAGGGAGGCTCTAAGGCTGATAAGGCTCTTCCAGCAAGGAGGGGAAGTCAGCATTTCCAGCATTTCTCTCAACTGTTGGTTGACAAGCTAAACTGCTTCCTATCCAACCCCTTTAAAAATTAAACATTGTTGAGATGCCAGAGGAGTTACTTGAAGGTAATCTGACCAGCACTACTTTCAGTGAGGCCACTACATTTTCCAGAATGCATTTTTGAAGATGTTATTTAATTAATGAATAGCTAAGGAATCAATTAAAATTGTTTAGAAGATTGAGACTATTTGCATTGTAATTTTCTCTCCCTCCCATGATTTAAGTACATTCTCAATAGCCAGTTTAGAGTCTTTTTTCTTTTCCATTGCAAAAATGCAGGTTATAATTACTAGCAGCTGATGAATTAAGACAGAAATGAAATTAAATCTGTACAATAGGTCTCCCTCAGGAGGTAATCTCTGTTGAAAGGTGCAATTTCCACACTCCTAACAGGAGATCCATCACTACTGGGTAGTGATTTTTTTGTTGATCCTTAGGATGGTATTGTAAGCTCTATCAAACTGTTCACAGAGTAAAATACAGAACCTGGCACAAACTAGAACACTAACTTTTTGACCTGACCTTCTTCATTAAACTACCACTCCCCGCTTCTAGCTCTGAGGGGTTTAATTGTTGGGGTTTTCCAGGTGCTCCCTCCTCCTCCAAGTAACATGTCCTGGACTAGTATTTTGACAAGAACTGTAACAAGCAGTTGGAAACAAGGATGCCAGAGTCATCTGCTTGCTAAAAGGTCAAGTAGCAAAGCAAGGACAACTGACCACAGGATGCAAAGTGAATTTTTGCTTTCTTGTTGATTTAAATCCATGCCAGGGGAGAGCAAAAAAAGCACAGAATCTAAGGGATACATAAGGCATTCAATTTCTGCAGAAGGTAGAGGGCATTAAGATGCCTAACACATTTCAAGATTTGGCTGTATTGGGTTAGAGGAGAGACAGCTTCACTTTGAAGCCAGGCAAGAACAGTTCAGGACTCCCACGTGCATTCTGCTCGTGTTGAATGGTGACTCCACTTTCCAATGACTCAGGTTTCTGCTGCTTGGCAGTGAGCAAAGCTCACAGATCTCTCTCCATCTTTAGCTGTCCTGTCCACAGTCCAGCTGTCCCACCAACCAAAGCTGTTGCAGAAATCATGCCTAAAGCACAGCAGAGTCTCCACATACACCATGTTTCCATGTAGGGGCTTTCCCTGTAAGCTGATGCTCCTTAGCAGAGGAGCTGGGGCTGAGTTTCTCACTATCCACATCTTCTCCTCCTCCTTGAGACTTACACGACATTGGTATGTCAAAATCAGAGGCTGCAGGTTCAGTGCCACTAGAGCCAGCATTCTGAGGTGTGGGAGCATTGCCAAGCAGTCTAAAACAAGTCTTGGAATAAGTTCTGTGACAGGTAACTAAACCTCCCACATCTACCCCTGCCTCCTCTCCAGTTCTGCAGCTGAGCCTGGGGGAGAGGAGTCAGGGTGTCCCTTCAGCATCGCTCTCAGATGAGTCATTACCCCAACTGTACTTTTAAGCCACCAAGACAATGACTTTGAATAAATGAACATAACAGTAAATTTCCTGTGCATGGTTTGTTACTATATGGTAATGAGCATATCTACAACAACTGTATGAGGCTGAGATGAAGAAGTTCCTTCTTTTTTTCTGCTAAGTCGATCCAGCACTACTAAAATTGGCCTCTTTTAGAACAGGATCAGAGCACTTCACTTCTTAACATATTCCCCAAGATACTATTAAGTTTGCTCACATGAGAAATGCCTGAGAGAGCCTAAAATTCCTACACCAAAAGCCACGACATGAAATTACCTGAATCAACAGCTTTTGCTCTTCTCTTTTTCTTACAGCTGTTCCTCCTGAAGCTTGGATAGAGGATCTGAGAGTATCTTATAATGGATTTTTCTTCTACTTCTCTGAAAGTGGGGTTAGAGTTACCCAAGGCAAATAAAAGTTACTTCCTATTTAGCAAATCTTGTCTTTGTTTCTTGGCAAATTCTCAGAGCAAACCGTAACTGAGTCCAGCAGCCTGAGGGAGGCATTTCACACACTGAGCTCCAGCGAGGGCAGCACAGAATGCAGATGGCCCAGAGGGTTTGATGCCCATGGTATAAGTGCAGCCTCCCACATCCTACAGTCAGATTGCTCCTATTGACACACCTGCTTGTTCATTACTTCTGGAAAATGACCCAAAACCCTGGGTAGGCAGAACTTGGGAGGTTCAGTGGAGTGAAGGTGACTAAATCTGCCATCTAGAGCGTGCTTCTTCCTCTGTGACTGACTTGGATGTCACCCTTTCCCAGCCTTTGCAGCAGGCAGGGAAACAGCAGAACCAAGCCAGATGGGCTTTAAAACCACTGTTCCAGACTGTTCCTGCAATTCTGTGTGCAGCTCCCTGTCATTTCCCTTCCCACCAAGGAAAGGTACCCCAGTGCACTTCTTCCCTTCTGCACCACTAAATAGACAATGGCAGAGGAAAAGAGAAGCTGAGCCTGAAGAGGACGAGCAACAGTGGGAGTGTCTCAAATTGGTCTCTAGGCCCAAACAGAAACCGACACAGGATCATTATCATCAGCAGAATTGTTTGCTCTCTGCATGTTTCACCTCAGCTGGAGCATTCTTTTTCATCTGTGCAATGCCCATGTAGTTAAGAGTAATTCAGCTCTCCCTGCAGAGAGTGAAAAATCTTGGCATAGAAAACAACAACAGAGAAAAGATAAGAGACTGAGACTTCACTTCTGCAGTGAGCCCACGGAGCTGCTCTCCCTCCTGTGCACCAGCTGTGGTGCTGCGTGGGTCTCAGAGCTCCCCCCTGCTGAGCACAGGGACACCTTGCATTCCAGGCAATCCCTTTCTGGTTTGGAACAGAGGTACAGGCCAGCATGGTAGATCTTCACGCACTCCTTGTACTCCCCTACGCTGACAGTTCAAGGAGTCACTAGCCCTGCTCTTACTCTTCCCACAACGTTCCTCAAAGCCCTAATGAGCAGCTTTGCACAACCCCTTCAGCCTCCCCACCTGTGCTGTTCATTAGGGCCTGACACTCTGCATTATGTGGGAAGGCTCCCTATGGATGGGGAATGTTTGGATTTAATGGTGGGTCTTTCACACCACCAAAGCGGCATGGAAATGAGAAGCATGATCAAGGGACCAAACATAAGTGCAGGCTTATAAAATCTGTATGGAGTAAGACAGATATGGAATCAATTTGAGCCTTTATCTGTCTATGGAGTGTATCTACAGAATGCTAGCATGCTCCAAATGCTGAATGGAGTAGATACACTGCTCACCTCAAATCTAGAGTTCCTGTTACAGGCAAAATTCATACTAAGTTTCTGAAATGCTTCCAATGCACCCCAGCAATCTTCCCTACTTGTGATAATACAGCTCAAAAGTGCAGTGTTCCTTCCAGATAGTGATGATATTTTACTTTTTTTCTCTACAATGAGGTTTATCACAAGGGGATTTTAGTAACATTTACTTAGGAGCTTTACTGTTCTACAAACAATAATTTCAGAGAATCTAAACTAGTGAGCGAGTACAAGAGACCTCATCTTGCTCTTCCACTCCTAAGAATGATTCATTTTGGCCATATGACAGGGTCGCATCCAGGATCCTCAAGATTTCTGTGGAGGACTCCAAGCACTCAATGTTTTCAGAAAATTCACATACACAATCACCCGAGAAAAATAAGCAACCAATACTGGTACAAAACCAGGACTTGATCTACCATAAAATGGAATGTCTGGCTGTGACACAATCCCTTCCCCTTTTCAAGGAAAAGAAGAACTAAATGCAATTCACTATCCTTTCTCAATATCATTCTTATGCCCTCAAAGATACATTTACTTTCAGAAGGAAGGCATTGCAAGTACCTTCCAATAACATACCAAGCCAACTTCTTCCTTCTCCATTTGTTTCTCATTTCCCAGAGCACTCTCAGATCCTTGGGGTCCGCTCCCTGTTTGGGTACAGTTCATTCTGATTATGAACCAGGCCCTCCTCATGCCCTGCCAGAAAGCAGGGGGTGTGTGTAGACCCTGCCCCAGGAGTTCACCCACACCTCCACAAACATCTGCCGGCAAAACCAGTACCAAGGGTGGGGGGCAGCTTTGGCACGAGACCTTGACAGGGCTGGGAAAGTGGGGCAAATACTGTCCCTCTGAGGGGCTCCCTGCCTTCCAGGCTGACATGACCTCCTTCTCTGCAGCTCCTGGCTGGGAACAGGGCAGGGGAAGGGCTCCCCAGGGTAAGCACACAGGACACCCTCAGGAGAAAGGAGCACCAAACGGCTCAAGACCCTCACGCAGCGATACCCCGAGGAACAGGGACAGCTGTGCTGTGGCTAACGCGGCGGCAGCCCGAGGCAAGGGCGGCTGAGGGAAGGCTTGAAGGGCGCTCTCGGGAGCCCCGGGAGGGTGAGGGCGGGCAGGGAGGGGCCCCGAGGCGCCCCGGGAGGCTGAGGGCGGGCAGGGCCCTGAGGCGCCCCGGGAGGCTGAGGGCGGGCAGGGAGGGGCCCCGAGGCGCCCCGGGAGGCTGAGGGCGGGAAGCCGCAATCCCACCCTCAGCCGCCCCAGCCCGCGGGTACCTGAGGGGCGGGGCGGGGCACGCGAGGCCGCGAGCAGGTGCGCCCTGCCCCCGCCGCCTCCAAGGGCCAATCAGAGAACGCGGGGGCGCCTCACGCGCCACCCAGGGCCGTGGGCAGAGGGGCGGGGCTTCCCTCCCCCACACACCCTGCCCGCCCTTCCGTCCCCCCGGCGCGGCGCTGAGCGACACTGTGAAATGTCGGTTCAGGTTATTTATTTGTTTATTTTGTCCTGCGGCCGCCCTGAGGCACAGGAGGGTGACTATTTGCAGTATTTGTCGGTGTCCAGGTGCTTGTGCTCGGGGTTGTAGGGTGCCTTGGCGAAGCACATGGCAGCGGTGCGGTCGCAGTTGCAGATGAACGCGGCGCAGTCCTTGTTCTTGCCTGCAGGGGAGAGAGGAGCGGTCAGAGCCCGCGGCTCCTTCGCAGGCGCTGCAGTGCCTCGGGCTGGCATTTCTGTCATGGTGTACCCGTTTCACTGCTGCCATCGTTCTGCGGGTGCACAGGCTTCTGCCCACTAACCCACTGCCCTGAAAGCTGTGTGTTCCAGCCAAGCCATCTCTCTCCTTGCCCCTTCCTCCCTTCCCTACAGCCCTATTTTCCAACTTCTGCTCTTTACCTCTGTTCCAGAGCCCTGTAAAATCTCCACTATTCATCAGAGGTGTCTGGCAGAAACTCTGTAACAATGCCAAGTTAACATGCTGATCCCTTGGATACTGCCATTAGAAGGCCTCCCAGAAAAGTACTCAATCCCCTGAAGACTAGACAGGCTTCTCTGTACTCTGCTGTACCATATATCCACAAACTTTGAATTGTGGACTATACAGAGAATACTCATTCCAGTGCCTGTGTGAGGTGCCCTCTTTCTAACGACCAGGTCCCCTGGCAAGAACTTGCACTGTGCCTGCCTGCTGCAGAGGTGTGAGTGTGACACAGCCCTGCTCTTTCCTAAGAGAGGCTGGAGAACATCTGGAGTGAAGTGGAAATGGACGTACTGCTACATGTGATCTCCCCGTTAGAGCAGCTGTAGTGGTACTGATTAGTGTAGGGGTTGTCCAGGAGGTATTTGCAGGATTCCATTTTCATTGCCTGGGAGTAGCAGTTATCGTGTGCTTGGCAGCACCTGGGAAACAAGGAGAATAAGGTTAGAAAATACCAGAATCACAGGCTCAACTGACCTGTAAGACACACAAATACGTTAGATTTGCTTTGACGAGGCTCTTGACAATAAAATAAAAAAAAAAAAGATAGCCAGCAATAAGAGGGCAGAATACAAAGGACCTCAAAGGGATACAGTTGTGCCAGCTCATGGTCCAAGAAGTGTCTGGTAAATATGTCCTTATGGGAGCATCTTCACAGTTGTCCATTGGGCAGGGAAAGCCAAAGCCAGTGTTTACCCTACACTTCCCGTCAGGTGCCTGGTAGCTGACAAGCTCAGCCAACACAATCCAAGACATAGCTGCCAGATTTGTGTGTCTCTAAATTGCCCATGCCATTTCCTAGCATTTTGCAGCCCAACCTGTACATGTTGATGGTCAAGCACCAGGCAGAGTGTGCAGAGCTGTGTCCAGGCTGCTGGCCCAGCACTACTGCAGAATAAAAAAATGCAGGAATGAGCACACTGTGCTGCCATAGAAGAGAAGAGCTACTGTAATTATATTTTATCTTAGTAATAAGGCATCAAGCTGTGCTAGCACACATCCTTTTTCAGAATCCATCTGTGAAAGAAAGCTTCCTTCACAGTAGCCAGAGAGTTTTGCAGGGCAGGGCCAGCTGAGATGAAGCTGAAGCAGGAAAGTACAAGCAAGGAAAGAGGTTTGTAAAAGCAGAGTTATAAACCTGTCGAGCTCGTCCACCGGAGTGCCGCTGCCCCCCAAGCCGCAGTAGCAGCCGTAGTGGTTGAATTCCAGCAGTGGGTGGCTTTCGGGCAGGGTGCACTTGATCAATTCACGGAACAGCCACACGGCCCGGGGCGAGACCTCGGCGCTGGCTGCGCCCACTGGGGAGAGACATGGGGTGGTTAGAGTCAGGTTTGGGGTTACCAGCACGAGGACGAGGGCACCTACGCACCTGACAGCAGGAAAAGCAGGGCCAGGAACTTCATTCTCGCAGCTCTTGACGCAAACACTGGGGCTAAGGGAAATGAGGCTTTATACAACAGGCTCACCTTGACATGGGTACAAGATAAAACTGCCAGTATTTATGTTACTAAATGCAGACTTCTTCCATCGGAGGCTGTGCGTGGCAGGTTGTGGCGTGACCAGTTGAAGGCCAGTTGAGTTAAATCCATAAAAGCCCGAAAGACAAATATTTGCTTTCTAGATTTTTGCTATTAAATTCTTGTAGTATTACTATTAGAAGTCAGCCTGAAAGTCCTGCATAT